AATACAATACACCTCACACACATACTGTACCCTATACAGAATGGGCTCCTTAGGGGGGATATAACTTTGTTACATTGGGCTGTGTTGTAAATGTCTTATTTTTTATTCCATGCCAGACAGGACTGGATGTATTGAGGCCTGTGTTGTATTTGTACAATATCCTTTTGTTGGGTAGGTACTCACATATCTATAGAGTGCACCTTGAGGTCTGTCATGGGCTCAGATGGCTAAGTCCACCTGACATCTGTCTGTGCCGGACACTGTGTTGACATGTTCAAATAGTGGACTCCATTCTCCTCTCAAACGTTCTTAGAACGCCTATAAGGGACAGTTGGAGCACAGCTAGGGTTTTGCATTGGGGTTTTGTGGGCACTAAAAAGTTAGCTTGCGCCAGGGTATTGGCAGTACAATTGCTGTAATGTAACAAGGCGCTCTAGCATCTTCTAGCAATAGTTTGTTACGAAAACCTGTACCGGGATTTTTAATGCCCGCAACTGCACTGAACGTGGGCTTGCCTATAAAGTAAGGCATTGTACACACAAGTCAATTCAATCTATTGTTTACATTTCTGAACCTAGTCAATAAAAATGTACTCTAGGTTCAACCCAGACATCCTTGAGCAAACACGGATTTCCAGCAAACATAGCAGTGATGTCACAAATGCTGAAGAATAATAAAACCCTTTTTCCATCGCCCACTGAAAACAGTCTGACATCACTTCCCTTATCTAGCCACAGATGGAGACGAAACCAACTTTCCAATATTTCCTGTACAAGTGGGTGCATTTGCAATTAGGTAAAATCTTTTCCCCACAACTATTGCAGTACAATGCCCTTTTATAGGCCTACTTGCTAATTATCTCTGCTTATAATGCCATGGATCCAAATAAGCTATTAGTGGTCTGTGCTTCTTTTGTCATATTTTGGATTTCATTTTAGCAAGCATTACATTGGATATGATTTTGTTGTAAAGAGGTAAATAGGAGAGTTGGCTCTGTCAGTGTTGAGTTAAACAGTGGGCATTGTGCCTAATGGATGTGGCAGGCAAAAGCCTCATCTGGATAGAGCAGCCTACCTCTCTGCAGTGAGGAATAAAAATGGTGCATTATCAAATATCATGTCCCCAAATGTTTGTCTAGCAAGCTTAAAGCTTGAGGCATGTGTGTGTGTGTGTGTTTGTGTGTGTGCACACGTATGCGTGCAAGCGCGTGTCTGTGTGAGTGGTTAGAGTGTGTGTATGTGGGCAGAGAATAAAGGATATCTGATTTCGTAATAGATTTTCTGTATTAATGCCTTAAGTGCCCCTGTCATTGTTTTAGATGGGCCTTTTTTTAAACAGTGCTTACCTTGTGTGATCATTCTTTATTTCTACTCATAGGTAGTGACATTAATGTGCTAATGCTGTTTCTTTCCTCGGCTGAGAGGTAAGTGTTACATCCTCAATTGTGCTCAAAGTGTTTACATTTACCATGGCTGCCTTAGTAGACTGGGGGACACACACACATACAACCACAACTGTAGCAAGTCAGAACTTGTTAATGGGTAGATATTGTTGATAGTTAAAATGATTGTTGTAAGATATGGTCAAAAACGTCACCCTGCTTCTCTCTCATTTATCTGTGTTCAAAACTTCTCAATTTCTACACACGTTTTATATGCCAACCCTCCAAATTCCCTCTCCTGTGAACAACTTTAACAGGAAGCAGAAACACGGGTGTTGACAGAGGCCAGTCATGGTTCTCTTTGAGGGTGGGATGATGTGTTAAAAGGGAAAGAGGAGGCTCGGTGGAGACATCAACATGCACACTGTGCAGGTGAAAGAGCGATGGCTAGAGCACTCCATGGGGACCTTTTGACTTTGTAATACCAACTTACTTACAGTGGACTTTGCACGTGAAGTGTAGCTCCGTGAAATGGCTCAGTGAAAATACTTATATTGCAACCCAATATGGGGAATAGGGTGCCATTTGGGATTCAGCCTTATTTGATAATCCCTGGCAGGAAAATGTAGCGTCCGTTGGTTGGTAAATAGATCAAAAGCGGGATCCAGCCTCTTATGCTCTTCCTCCTGTCCAACTCAATAAACTGAACCATGGCAAGGCAACAGAGCAAACCTATAGGAAGAACAGATTAGCCTTGCTTTGTCCACTCCAACTAGGCTCACACCACCCTAACCTCCATTCCTATTCCCTGTAGTCTCTCTTTGTATAATTCTGCCTTTTGGATGGCTTTGTCACTTGTAAAGCCACTAAGATAAAAAAAAGAAAGAAGTGTTGGGTGGATGAAATCAAGAGGTTTAGTTTAATAAGTCCTGGCACGGTGCTCTGCCTATAAACAAAGGGGGTGACATGACAAAGCCAAAGCTCGGGTCTGTCTCTCAGGCACACGACCTGTCGTGGACAGTTAGTCCTCAAGGAAATATGCCTCTCCACCGCCAGAGACAGCAGTACCTGCTATCTCTCATTAGCATATTACTCAGTGATTCTTATTTTTTTTTTTTTGGGGGGGGGGTCTTTTGTGACGTCATTAGTAATGACTTTCTCTTCTGTCTCTTAGCCCCACACTCTGTCAATTGCCATATCTTAGCAGGGGATTTATGAATTATGTTTGTGTCTCACTACACGTTGTGACTGGTGCTTGCTGACTGTAGTGGTGATTGGAGAACTTTTACACAATCTACTTGTCCAGTAAGGATATAATCATGTCTACAGAGATGTCTGTTAATAAACTCTTTACACCAAGTTCCAACAACATTTCCCATCAGAATTTGAATTTGTTTGGAGAATAGCAGGGGACCGAGTTCCAACAAAAAATGTTCTGTAAAATCTATTTGGAGACTAAAGGGATCTACACAGTCTTTGCAAACGGAGCCGACGGAGATCCGTTAGCGTCGCTCTCTACGTAGTTCTACGTACATTTGTGCGTTTTGATTTTTTTTTTGCGCAACGCAAGCAGACCTCCATCGGCTCCAATTGCGTAGACTGTGTAGAGCCCTTAACAGGCGGCTGACGTTGTTTGTTAGCATCATTCATACACTAGTCTTTCCTCAGAGCCATAATGTAGAGCGTATTCAAGGTTGTGGCGATGAATGTGTATCTTGAGTACTTTTCTGTATCTCACCCACAAGCAACAGCATTAATTAGGGCCCTATGAAATCTGTGATCTGGGAAATGCGGACGGAAACCAGACATTAAAACGGAATTCGACAATATTCAAAAATGTATTGAACTTAGTAGCAAATCAACTAAATGTATTTAATTTATTACATTTTTTAAAAATTTGCCCAAGATGATGATAATACATGAACAAAATGCATAAGTGATTGTATATTCCTTTGAGGTAATGGGCAGGAATGTCTCTGTCTGTGTATGCACGTTTGTCTACCACTTTTTGTAGCCGTTAGCAATGATGCTAATGACAACAGTCTTCTGGTAGATGGAAAGGCTTTCCCAAAAACCTGGCAGAATGACATCATGATTATTTGCATCAATCCAGTGGTGATTTGTTTAGAAAACTCTGCAATCATATGTGTGCTACAGAAACACTGCTAACCAATCAAGTATTTTGCTGGTGCTAACTTGAATTAAAGGGTATCTACACCCAAAAATGACATTTTCTTAGATTTTTCCCAGACCTCAAAAGTGGTCTCCTGATGTGGTTTAAGCATTGCTGTGGACTTAGAACGTCCACTTTTGTTGTTTTTCTGTGAAAAAAAGTATGATTTTGAGACTGAAAACAGGGAAATATCTGAAAAATATCAAAACAAAACGGAGAAAACAGACTTTAAAATAAATAAATATACGAAATTAAGCAAGAAATTAAACTTATCGTATAGGGCCCTAATTAATCCGTCCATCCATGTTCCCTGCAGTTATTTAGTGTGGAGTTGAATTGTTATTTATTCAGAACTCTGATATGCAGTGCATGCTGTGCAGTAAGTGTGCTGTTATGACTCAACGAGCATGTCAGATTAGGCTGCATTTATCATTTATTGTTGTGTGCAGGAGAGGAGAGTGGGGTGGGGGGTGTTAAGGGACTCGGTTTGTGTCCCAAATCGCATCAAATTCCCTATATAGTGCACTACTTTTCACCAGAGTAGTGCACTATATAGGGAATAGGGTACCATTTGCAACCCAGCCTATTTTGGTGTTTCTCTGTCATAAACCCCCCACAATGCATATTTTCTTTAATCCTGTATTTGGGAAGCCTGCAGGCTATCGAGGCTCTGAAAAGGAGGAAAGAAAACAAACATGACAGGTCCCTAAGCCCATGACTCAGATACAAAATGGAAGCCTTTAACAATTCTAAACTATGTGACAGGTCTGCAAAGATTTCAGCTGGCGAGTTTTGCGCCGCACCACTAAGAGGATTTCAGAATAGGGAGAGTCCGTTTGTACAGACACACTTTAATGTGCTTGTTCTAAAAATGTGCTATGTTTGCGTTGTGGTAGCTATGCTTGTGTTACTATGGTATATATACTATTATTGTTTCATGGTTACTGTACATACTAGAGTATTATTTTGAAGCAGGTCTGATGTTAAGCTTGTTAGTGGGGATTATGTTGCTCTAGGCAACTATTTTTCTTGTTAGCAGTATTTTGCATCACACACAACATAGAATACCAAGAAAGGCCTGGGGGACTGCCTATTTCATCTGTGATGCATTTTCAATACCCAGCATAGAGTAAAGGGAGAACAGAATAACATTAGACACATTGATTGGAGCAGTGTGTCAGGCCACCATAAAAGCCTAATGTATAAAATTGTATTTTGGGAAACCATTGATCACTACTACCAGACAGACTTTGTAAATATTTGATCAGATCCCACCCCTCTCCCCTTTAAAGATGTTGTTAGGATCTCTCAACTATGGTTAGCACATTCCAAGGACTGAGCACCAGAGCTCCTGTAAATGTTCCTGGTACATTGCTGCTATCTCTAAATAACACTTGATCTAACCAGTAAGATCACTTACTGGCTGTTTCTTTCCACTATGCAGGTCTGAAGGTGCGTGAGGTGCTGATCAACGTGTCCCGTCAGCAGGTGGAGGACTTCCATGGCCCAGAGGACTACTGGTGTCTGTGTGTGGCCTGGAGCCACCTGGGCACCTCCAAGAGCCGCAAGGCCACGGTACACATCGCATGTGAGTAGCCTACATAACTGTATCACCCATAGCAGTTTTAACCAGTCCTGGTCCTGAGGACGCAAAAGGGTGCACATTTTAGTTTTTGCCCTAGCACTAACATACTTGATTCAACTAATCAACAAGCCTTTAGTTTAATCAGGTGTGTTAGTGCTAGAGCATAGAACCAGGCTTGGGAAACACTGACCCATAGAATTAGAATGAGTAGAACGGATGTCTCCATTCAGGTCAATTTTGCCATCATCGGTGGACTGTTGGCCATTTTGAGTATTGCCATGAGGTTGCCAGTAAAATTGCCATGGTTAGAGGTTCTATGCCCGTTCTACTCATTATATTTATTTATATGGTAATACCACAGTCTCACATTACAGCGAATGGCCAGAACTGCACTGCAGGAGTAATAGATTAAAGCAGAGTGCAACCTAGAGAATAAATGATGTCCCATGGCATATACTGTAAAGCTTCATGGGCATATTATACAGTATATGTACTCATCAGCCAGTGCAGTCTATCCTCCAAATGACCTTGGGAACCTGCAGGCAGATGGAGCCAGGAAGGAAGGAAGGAAGGAAGGAAGGAAGGAAGGAAGGAAGGAAGGAAGGAAGGAAGGAAGGAAGGAAGGAAGGAAGGAAGGAAGGAAGGAAGGAAGGAAGGAAGGAAGGAAGGAAGGAAGGAAGGAAGGAAGGAAGGAAAGGAGATCAGCTCCTGATCCATCCATCCATCCCCCCCCCCCCAGCCCATTTCTCACTCCCAAGGTTGATGCTGTGTCCAAACCAAGGGCAGGGAGAGTGGCAGTGGCAAGTGGTGTTAGTGATGGGGAGATTGAGGGCAGACTGGACATGGCAAGGACTGACAGCAGGGTGTTCTCTCCCCACACAGACCTGAGGAAGAACTTTGAGCAGGACCCCCAGGGGAAGGAAGTGCCAATCAAAGGGATGATCGTGCTGCATTGCCGCCCCCCAGAGGGAGTGCCCACGGCAGAGGTAAGACCCCAGCTTCCCAGTCCTTAACACTTAGCACCCCTCCAACAGGATGGGAGCCTCTCTGTGCAGGGGAACAGCTTACCTTACACTCCAGGCTGTTTAAATACTCTAGATTTCAGGATTATGCAGCAAGGGGAAACTGTCTGCTTTGAAAATATATTTCTTCCCGACTGTGTAATGTGAGCGGTAGGCATACACTACACACTGTGATTTGTTATAATGACAGTGTTGTTGTTGGATGCACCTATCTTTTGTTGATGCTAATTGCTGAAAAATACCATTACTCCAATTGTAAGGGTTCTAGTTTCTTACAGTATATGCAATGGGTGAATGGCCCACAAACACTATGCACATGTTTAAATAGATTGGTGTCTATTAATTGAGTAGCATTTAGATAACTGGTCAGTAGTTCAGTCAGATTTCAACAAAAAAAATAAGATATCAACCAAAATAAGATGTATTTTTTATGACGTTGAAAAGACATCAAGAGGGAATTTGGCAGTATGTCCAACCGGCCTCAGAACCGCAGACCACGTGTATGGCGTTGTGTGGGCGAGCGGTTTGCTGATGTCAACGTTGTGAACAGAGTGCCCAATAGTGGAGGGTTATGGTATGGGCAGGCATATGCTACGGACAACGAACACAATTGCATTTCATCTGATGCAGCACTCTATCACTCTCCGTCCTGGTCAAATAGCCCTTACACAGCCTGGAAGCAGGGGCGGTGTGTTCATTAGGGCGATATGGGCGACGCACTGCCAAACGGGAAAAGCAAGGGATTTTTTTTCTAATCAATTATATCACGGCAACAGTAGTTATCAGTGTTCTAATCTAGACGTCTGATCTGCCACTAAATGTCCAATCAGGCTAAAGTCGTGCTTCAAATGGCCCCGCCCGTTTTGGGGCGATTTCAGTCAGGTTGAAAATCGCCCAGAAGTCTCTCATAGCCTCTCATGTAAAATCAATTGGGTTTCTGAGGGCTTGCACTTACGCGCTTTCGTCATACGTAACATAACCATGAACGTAACTAAGAAAAGAGCGGGTAGCAGCGTCAATCAATTCACGTACTACTATCAAGATGGCTATAGCGTTCAGTGCAACTCGATTGTCTCTTTGAAAGAAGTTCACATCAAAGACCATTCAAAACGAGCTACTGGAGTGTATGCTAGCGGTCATGAGGGAACATATTGTGGAGGAGGTGAAGTCGGCGAACTTCGTAGCTATCCAAGCTGACGAGACCACGGACGTTTCTACACATACACAGCTGGTGCTGAGGTACATAGATAGCAACCACAGAGTGCAGGAGCGCTTTTTTGAGTTCCTTCCCATCTCGGAATCAACCTCAGTCTCAATCGCCAGTGTGCTTTTGGAGAGACTGAAACTGAGAGTCAAACTCATTGCGCAAGCTTACGATGGAGCCAGTGTGATGAGGGGAGAGAAGGCTGGTGTGCAGCAAAAGGTACGTGAGCATTTCAAGAATGCCCATTACGTGCATTGCTATGTGCATCAGCTGAATTTTATGCCTGATTTCAATGAGAAAGTCATTGACCGCTTTGCTGCATTGAAAGAGAGAAGAGAACAGTTTCAGTACAAGTAATGTAGCCTCTCTCTCTCTTTGTCCCTCCCTGTCTGTCTCTTTAACACACACACGCCCAAATCAGTTCACAGTTGATGTTGTTTAAAATAGTTATTTTTCATTAAAAAAAAAGTAAAACTTTTTTTTTACAAATCTATACAATTGGCCAGAATATGGTTGTTCATATTTACAAATCTATACAATTGGCCAGAATATGGTTGTTCATTTTTACAAAGCCATACAGATAGCTGTGTTTACCTTTTCTAGAAATTATTTTCAAATTCTGTTTTCAGGCAAAATGTCTATCACTGTTCATTTTCACAAATCTATACAAGAGGGCAGAATATGGAAGTGTATAAACATTTCCTATTACCAATAACTTGCATCAATGTTTTCAGTAGCCTCTATCAAAAGCTCCTGCTTGCTTGTTGTGAATTATGCTCAGGTGCACATATTTCCAATTCAACCATGAGGCCTTTTTGAAGCAAGTAATGTGTATATCAGTATTGACTTATATGCTGCCCCTGTCTTCATGTTGTTGCTGGACATATCTTTTTTAAAATGTGTGTAGGTCACCTAAATCATCAGAAAAATTGCCCCCCCTGAGAATTTTTTCAGGAGCCGCCACTGCCTGGAAGTGTGTTGGGTCATTGTCCTGTTGAAAAACAAATGATAGTCCCACTAAGCCCAAACCAGATGGGATGGCGTATCGCTGCAGAATGCTGTGGTAGCCATGCTGGTTAAGTGTGCCTTGAGTTCTAAATAAATCAAAGACAGTGTCACCTGCAAAGCACCCCCACACCATAACACCTCCTCCTCCATGCTTTACGGTGGCAAATACACATGCAGAGATCATCCGTTCACCCACACCGCGTCTCACAAAGACACGGCGGTTTGAACCAAGAATCTCCAATTTGGACTCCAGACCAAAGGACACATTTCCACCGGTCTAATGTCCATTGCTCGTGTTTCTTTGGCCAAGCAAGTCTCTTCTTCTTATTGGTGTCCTATAGTAGTGGTTTCTTTTCAGCAATTCGACCATGAAGGCCTGATTCACACAGTCTCCTCTGAACAGTTGATGATGAGATGTGTCTGTTACTTGAACTCTGTGAAGCATTTATTTGGGCTGCAATTTCTGAGGCTGGTAACTCTCATTAACTTATCCTCTGCAGCAGAGGTAACTCTGGGTCTTCCATTCCTGTGGCGGTCCTCATGAGAGCCAGTTTCATCATAGCGCATGAAGGTTTTTGCAACTGCACTTGAAGAAACTTTCAAAGTTCTTGAAATGTTCCGTATTGACTGACCTTCATGTCTTAAAGTAATGATGGACTGTCATTTCTCTTTGCTTATTTGAGCTGTTCTTGCCATAATATGGACTTGGTCTTTTACCAAATAGGGCTATCTTCTGTATACCCCCCTTACCTTGTCACAACACAACTGATTGGCTCAAACGCATTAAGAAGGAAAGAAATTCCACATATTTACTTTTAAGAAGGCAGACCTGTTAACTGAAATGCATTCCAGGTGACTACCTCATGAAGCTGGTTGAGAGAATGCCAAGAGTGGGCAAAGCTGTCATGAAGGCAAAGGGTGGCTATATAAAATATATTTTGATTTGTTTAACACTTTTTTGCTTACTACATGATTCCATATGTGTTACTTCATAGTTTTGATGTCTTCACTATTTTTCTACAATGTAGAAAATAGTAAAAATAAAGAAAAACCCTTGAATGAGTAGGTGTTCTAAAACTTTTGACCGGTAGTGTACGTTGTTAGATTTGTGGAATATACACTGAGTATACAAAACATTAAGAACTCTTTCCATGACATAGACTGACCAGGTGAATCCAGGTGAAAGCTATGATCCCTTATTGATGTAACTTGCTAAATCCACTTCAATCAGTGTAGATGAAGGGGGGGAGACAGGTTAAAGAAGGATTCTTTAGACTTGAGACAATTGAGACATGGATTGTGTATGTGTGCTATTCAAAGGGTGAATCGGCAAGACTGAATATTTAAGTGCCTTTGAATGGGATTTGGTAGTAGGTGCCAGGCACACCGGTTTGTGTCAAGAACTGCAACGCTGCTGCGTTGTTCACGTTCAACAGTTTCCCATGTGTATCAAGAATGGTCCATCACCCAAAGGACATCCAGCCAACTTGACAAAACTTTGGGAAGCATGGGCCAGCATCCCTGTGGAAAGCTTTCGATACCTTTTAGAGACTATGACCTGACTAATTGAGGCTGTTCTGAGACCGGGGGGGGGGGGGGGGGGGTGTATTGTTTGGTATACTCAGTGTACTGTATATCATGCAACCTTTCCTTTAAGTGAATCAGTATGAACTATATAGCTATATAGTGTGGGTTTGATTGGATTTTAGCTGTAGGCAACCTGTGCATTATGAATGATTCACCATGGAGAGGATGGTGGGGTGGGGTGATGCCAGACTGGTTTGCATTCCAAATGGAACCCTATTCCCTATGTAATGCATGACTTTTAATCAGAGCCCTATGGGCCCAGGTCAAGAGTAGTTCGCTAAATAGGGAATGGGGTGCCATTTGGGACTCAGGCCTGGTCCCCTTGAATGAACACACAGCAGAGAATATAGGAGATTCCCAGAGAAGAGCCCAGAATCTCCCCAGCTAAAAGACACTGAGCGAATAATGTAGAATACAAGGCAGGCATTCACAGCCCAGACAATTCCAACATACAGTACCCACCTCTCCATGAAACATTGAAATTGCAGCTGCAAGTTTTGTGGTAGTGTGAGGTTTTTGGGAGCCTTTTTTCGGCACGCAGGCTGGCACGGCAGTGGGACGGATGCTGCTCCTGCTCCTTCTTGCTCCCCTCCCAGCTGTAATAGAATGTGAGTTGGTGGTTTTGATGCACTGTAAACATTCCTCTGGAGGAACGTGTTCTGAAACTCCTTCGGCCAGCAATGATGTTGAGGCGAGCTAATGAGTCGCTCGGATTTGGATACATTTTGCATCATTGTGTCTAATATAAGTCTGTGCTTGACACTTTGAGAGAGGCTGAGTGTCTCCTAGCCCGGTTCTCTGGAACACTAAGGGAAACGTAGCACTGGAGTTACTGCTCTTCTCTCAACTTGGCTCATCATCTCACTTCTCTCTCCAAATCTGTTCAGGCACACATTTTCAAGTGAAGCTGTTTTATAAGTTGTTTTGGCATTTATTTCACATTTAAATAAGCTCCCCAGACCTTATTTATTTAACATTCAGATATCTATGGACATTGCAAATGTGCTGGAGCAAAGAGCAAGCCAATATTATTCATTTTACAGAGGGTGGTTTTACATTTCCACTTCATAAGGTGTTTAAATAAAAGATAAATCAAACTTCAGGCTGTGAGGTAAACCAAGCACATTAGGAATATAAGTAGAAGTATATAATGAAATATTCC